TTAGTAACATAAATTTTTTCATATTAAAATGTACTCGCGGGCCGTAAAAATTATTTGGCGGGCCGTATATGGTCCGCGGGCCGCCAGTTGGACAGCGCTGATGTAGGCTGTATGCTTTTAGTTTTTGGCATCGTATAATTCTCAAATTAGTGCTTTAAAGTACTAACATAAATTATACATTTAAATAATTTTAAATGATATCTAAAACTATCTGAAATTTTAAGATAGTTTTACAGCTATTTTATACACTTTCTATTTGCTTCTTAAATCCAAATTTATCCCCTACTTTTATTTATCAGTAGGAAAAAAATGCTATTTAATATTTTATATTAAATCCAGAATATAAAATTTTATTTTGTTAGTTTTTGTCAAAGTTTTCTACATCAGATGACACCGATTGTTATAATGTAGTGATCTACTTATATAATACTTCTTTAAAGTCACATTCTATTGAAGTACAATAACAAAAATTTACGTAAATGAGAAAAATGTTTTTTTCTTCAATATAAAAAAGATAGTCTTAATATAATGTTTTAGAAAAATTTTTTTAAAATAGAGAAATGAAAATAATAAAAACAATTAATTCTCAGAGAGAAATTTAAATGAAAAATTAATATTCATTGTTTTAGTAAAGAATTGATAATTCTTTGTTATTCACAATAAATAATATAAAATATGCATGTATCATCTTAGAAAATTTCGTCATCTAATCATGTAAATTATTTTAAATAAAATAAAATATAGAAAAACACTGCGTAAAAACACGCTTAAAATTATAAATTCATTCTAATATTCAATGCCTCTATACGTAAAGTAATTCAAATCTGTATTGAAAATAGAAAGGACCGCATAAAAGTTTATTTTAAATCGTAATATTCATTCCTGTATTCATCATCTGTGTAAAAAAGCGATCTAAATCTACGCTGAAAATATACAATATTTATAGCGTGTATATCACCAACAGAAGAAACATGAAGACACATTTCGGGTCCCATAATCTTGGAGGATCAACAGTAGAGGCTCCATAATGGTATCAAAATTTGTCAAAGAGTATATGTTATAAATTGCTTTTTCATTATTTATACGTAAATATATACTGTACAGCCAATCTCCACATAATACGGTATTTCTGTAGTACGATTTTGCTCTAACGCGATTAAAGAGCTGCGACAATCTTCACACAGCATGGTATTTATATAATCTAGTTGTGCACAAAACCTCGCCGTTGTATGAAGAAATCCTGCTTTTATACTAAATGAAATTTTTTAACATTTTCATTTCTTGTGAATCCACTTTAAAATAACGGATAGGAAATTGATAAAAAATATAAGTTATTGGAGAACTTCATATTTTATTTCACTGGCAAATTCCGTGTTAAGTCTGTGCTATCAAACTTATGTTTGTTTGAGACGATTAAAAGCTGTGACTTATTACATTCGTTACATCAAAAAAGCGTAACAATGGATTTTGGACAAAATAGACTTTGAATCTATTGAAGTATTGGAGGCACAGAAACACTTTTGAGTTGTGGACTGTATCAGAATTACAAGAATTACATATAGAAAAAAAGAAGTAGATTTTAGTAAAAATGTCATTGAACGTAAATTTATCAATTCGGAGGAAGAACTCTTTAAAGTTCCAATATTCTTAATATAGTATGGTTGCTGTTAATGTCGTGTTCTTTATTACAATTTGTATATTTTTTAACAGCACTGAAGAGAGGTTGGAAACATAAGCCAACCCGAAATGCATTTGAGCTCAAATTTTTAAAATAAAACCGTAATTTTCTAACGAAAATGCTGTAAGATCGTCTACCAAGAAAAATTCTTTGGATTAAAAGGACGTTATACATAGAAATTTAAAGTTCCAGATTGTATACTGAAAAGCATAACCTAGCTGAGCAATTAGAAATTTATTTTTTTGAATGCAGAATCTTTCACTGAAAGCAATACAAAGCCCAAAAGAACTCTTCAAAAATCTTTCGCTTCACATCATAAAATTTAACAAACAAAATTCAAATTTTTCATTTTTTAGAGCGTCGAAGAAACGCGAAACTCAGATTATTGATGATATTCTGCAGCACAGAAAATATTCTCATTTGCTCGTGCTTAACAGCAATAAAGTATAAAATTAAAAGCATATTATTTAACATATTGTATATATCAGTTTGCAAGAAGTTTGTTCAGTTATTAGTTCTTTATTACAATTTGTACATTTTTTAACAGCACTGAAGAGAGGTTGGAAACATAAGTTAAGAAGTTTGTTCGGTTATTAGTTTTCAATAAAAATTGAATTTTTGATAGATATAAAACTAAAATTATGACTTTTTCTCAGCCTTTAAACTCTTTTTATCGTGTTGGTTCTTAGTACCAATACAGTAAGTATAAAACAGTTTCACATTACACGAGATTTTCTAGAAACCTAACTACCGTATTATATGAGTGTTATCTGTAGTATTAGCTACATTAAAACATTATAGTAGTAGGCTTACTGCATTTTTTTAACAACTGGATGCCAAGAAGATAAAAGCATGAGCCTGATGTTCTGAAAATCTGGGTTCATGTCCGGTTCTAGAACCTCATAAACTTTTTCATGGGCGAGCAGCAGGACCGTTGAGAGAAGAAGGGAGCTGGAGAGTTTTCCCCAGGCATGAAAAAACTTAGGCGCCCTTAATAGTTCTTATCTCTCTAAATTAATGTTATTTTTCTATCAAAAAATGAAATCTTTAAAACTGCCTTTATTTACAGTCTGTGTATTTCATTCGTTCAAAAAGAAAAATGACAAAACGGTCCCACTATGTCTTTTTTCAAACTCTTTTCGCTCTGTAGACACAAAGAGAGCTTTTCAGCAAGTCCATTATGGGTACAGCCAGGCTCACAATGAAGCGGCCGGATGGTGGACGGGGCCCGACATATCCGGACAGACCACCCGCAATAAATTTCTGGGGTTTATCGACTTGTGCGGATTCGATTTCAGGTTTCCAGAGAGGTAGATTGCCATGTTAACCGATCAGCCATTCGGCCACCCGCTCTACTTCCTAACTCCATAAGCTCTCGAAGACTCTAGCGAGCTATTCAGGATGACCTGTTCCTCATCACACAGCTCGTTGATGGCCAATCGAACACATAATTGGATTGAAAAACCTTCGTGGTGACCACAAAGAAGAAAATATTTAAAACATTAAAATGTAATATTTCTTTGATATTTACTTGAAAATATATGGTATAACAACATTTGTACCACCGATTTTTAACTAGTTGATAGCAAATTCAAAACATTTTCATATCTTATTCCAATCTCCTACAATAACATCAAGAAACACTGATTCAAAATATAACTAATATTTCATAATAAACCTTGTTTATTGTGAAATATTAGTTATAGGCCTACATGTATTATATATATACATAATATATTTAAGTCATATATCATAAGTCATAAATAAAATTTCTCAACTAAATTCAGTTGTGAACTAAAAAATTAGATTATAACTTTCAGACAATATATAAAAGGCCTGGAAGTCTTAAATAAGTTTAAAATTTTTAACCTAAGATGATTCATGTAGCATAACTTTACATAATTTCAAGGTTAAAAACATGTGCCAAATAGATGTTATTTCTATACTTTAAAGATTATATTTAGTAACTTTTGTAAAGCATGAGCATCGATATGCATAAAAATCAAAATAGCTCTTGCAGATTGCATTACTAATCACGACTCTTATTATTTTTAGTTTATGCTAAGTTACATAGAATAAATTTTAGCAATCCTATCTTATAAAATGTATTGTACTAAAAATGTATAAAGAATTGGCATTGAATTAGTATCTTTTATAAATATTGTCAGTCTCTTCAGAGGTTGTCTTTAGGTATTAGTATTAGTACAATCAAACTTCCTTATATCAAACTTATTCAAATCAGTGCATGCTAATGACATTTAAAAATCCATCTATTATTCCAATTTTTTTAATTAAATTTTTTAATCAATGATAATTTTTAATTGTCTTCTAGATGCTCCACAATTTTTAGACAAATACAAAAAGTCCTATTAAAAGGATAAAAGGTACTTATTAAGTACAGCATAATCTGCTAAGCTTCAAGTAACTTTAGCTTATTGTTATACAGGTAGCCCTCGGTTTACGCTGATTCACAATAACGCGACTGCGCAATTCGCCGTTTTGCAGTGTAATTTCCATTTTTCCCTATGCTAGACTGATTTTCATTTCAGTGTTGACATATTTATCGAGTCACAACATTGTACATTCATTAAATCTTAAAACAAAGATTTTTATTGAATATATTTATTTTTTATGTTTAATATTATTGAGTATGTATACATTTGCATTAAATTAATATTAAAATACTAAACGTTTAATAACTTGACTCGTGGGTACCTAAACTTAACAGTCCAATAAATGGAGTCTGAATCCATAGTGCCAATGAATGTATCCTGTATCAGTTCATTCAGGAAAACACCTTACGACCCAGTAGCACTTCTGGTGATCATAAACTATCGTTAGTGAGACAAATCTACTTCTCATTGGCCAGACGATATCTACATCTCCTTAGCCACCTTGAATTTTCCCGCTCAAATTGACCNAGAATTTTGAATTTATCATTTTTAGCAATATTATAATTAAAAAATTATATTTTTCTTCTTTAATTTTTTAAAAATATTTGTCTTTAATTTAAAGAAAAAATCTTAAATTTTGTTCGTTTACTTTTATATATGTGTTCACATTGTATTAAAATGTTAATATAACTTAATAAAATTAATTAATTACGTTAAAAGAATATTTTTCTATTACTTTTTAATAAAAAACGACATGAACTTATTTGTAAATTATAAGACGAATGTACTTTCAAAGTAAATGGATTTTTGCCGACTTTTATTTATAGTTATGCATCTCTATTTTTAGAAAGACGGGTCAATAAGAAGAGTGAATCTGTAAATGAGATTCTTTGCCAAAAAACTTAATATAATATTATAAAAATACTTACTGCTGGCTGATGATTTTGAAAGTGCACAAGATTTTGTAGATGCTAATTTTTTAACTTTACTCATTTTTAAATTTAAAAAAAAGAGAGAGAGAGAGACGAATAGAAAAAATGATATTAAAGAGTTACAAGGATGGAAATTATTTTTCTCAAATGAAAACTTGTATGACAATGATTATGCTGTTATTAAAGTAACTGTATATACGTATATGTACTTGTTTATAATTATATGTAAAGTAACTTGTATATGTTCTTACATAAATAATGACATCAGCTTATTTTTGTATGGAATTTTCTTTTATTATTGATACTATATGTAAGAATAATTAAATGTAATTAATATGGTCAAGTAGAGGTATTTAATTCTATTAATTAAAATTAATCTGTTAAAGTTTTTAGGAATTTTTTTATAAATGTTCTCTATATGTCATTGACTTCTTTTGTATAAGTGATATCCTTTAGAGAAGGTAAATCTAGAACAGACATTCCAACACTTCATTATTTTGGTGGCTTCTTCTAAAAATAGATTTTTCCAACTAACTGTTCTGTTAGAAAAATCTCTCTCATATCGCCATCTGTAGTTAATAAAAAGAACTAAAATGCCTTCTATAATAAAAGTTCTAAAACTACAATAAAAATTTTTGGAATATGTAATCTNTTATTTTAAGTAATATTTTATTTCAAAATTACTTGATGAAATATGGAGATTTTTTGAATTTTCTTTCTTGTCTAACTGCTTCCGAATGCGCCATTAGGAACTGAAATATTGTACATTTAATTTACCTTTCTGTTTCATTAATTCGTTTTGCGACAGGATTTAAAGTAAATCAAAACATAGAAATATTCGGGTACATTTCTAGAAATTAAAAGAAAAGAAAATACACATTGAGAGCGTAGACTATCCAAAACGGCGTCTTCATTTGTCCTTTTTATACATTAGGAACTGATCTAAAACACACTGAGGTTCAACTTTTTATTTGAAGCTGCGACCTCAGTAAATCATTTAATAGACAATATCCACTGGTGATTGGATAATATTATAAAAATTGCATTTAAAAAAATAATAATCCAGAACACTAAAATTCATTAAGAGCACGAACATAAACTATCCAAAAAGGACAAGTGAAAATACCTTAAAACCACGGTACACTGAATTCTTGTTGGTAGCGGATTAGCAGCCTAGCCAACGGGCTGACCAAGTGTAGTTTTCCGGATTTTCTTCACGTGTATATAGGGCCAGTTTCTCATAAAAAGACTTTCCAGGAGGCATTTAGCTTGACAGATCGTCCAAGCATTGTCTTCTTCTATTAATCCAACCTTAAAATATTGCCCCGATTTGATTGAAATATCGTTTTTGATTCGTTTTGATAGAATCTAGTTCTATAGAGAACTAGATTCTATCACATTGTGGCGTCAAGTGTCACATTATCTATAGAGATGACACTTGACACTTCAATTTTGTTTATTACAAGCAATACCGATCCACGATGATTAGAATATATAAATGATAAAAGAAGCAACTCTTACACCATCCGATTGACTTTGATTTGAATATCGTTTTACTACAGTATCGTACAGTAATTCTTTATCGTACATATATTGTTTGAATATTTGGAATTAATAGGAACAGCAAAATGAAATGAATGATACAAATTACTGCAAAATACCATCCATTCTGCCTAAATTGAAGAAAGAATAAAAGGTAAATGCCTAAATTAATAATATTATTAATGATATTTGATATTCCCTTACAGATATATCACACGCATTTATGCTTGAAGATTGGCTAATGCTGCCGTATTAATTTGCGATCTGAAATTTTTCCACGATAATTACCATAAAAACTTGAAATCACTTACTTGTCAGTAATTTGATTAATTAACAAGGCATTTTCATCACTAATCAAATTATATTTTACATAAAAAATATATTTAATTTAATATTTTCAGTTAACAAATTATTTGTTTTATTAATAGCACAAAAGTTGATTAATTAATTAATTTTATAAAATTAAAATAGTACAGTAATATCAATAATAAGAATATGGAACTGCTAGTTATCCCCACGCTGTGAATATTACGTGCTTTCAGAATAATCTGATGCTTTTCATCCGTTATCATTTAAACCTTTTATATCGTTTAAGAAACGTTCTCAAAATACGCACTCAAGTAAATTTTTAAGATTTGAGTGGTTTTTTGCGACTTATTTGAAGGTGTGTAGTGACAATCAGTTTTTCTTCTGACTTTGTCTTGCGAATGAAGCAGTCAGAAACATTTAATTCGAAGTTTGACGGTTTGTATGTATGGTTGCATTTCTTCTGATTTCTTTCAATATGGAGCTCACCAGTAGCCGAATGGGCCACAGTACTGATGGTTCCGGGTTTGCGCCTGACCAATAGGCTTGTCGCTTAAAGGTTTCCGGGTTTTCGCCACGTGTCCAACATCTAAATAGGGGCAGTTTCCCATAGGAAGTCCTCCCTGGAGGCATTTCCATCTTGGCAGGTCGCTCGTGTTGGATTAGCTTCTCATCAGTCAAATCACTTAAATTCTTTCAATACGGAATAGTATTCGTATGCCATTTGATAATAAAATTTAAAAGTATTTTGGTATTAAATTGAAAAATTTTAATAAAATGAAATTAAAATTAAACTTGAGAAAATAATATAAATTTATTAAAGTTTGCTGATAAATAATAAGTTACAGTTGCTTCTCCTCTGATTTATTAACTATGAATAAAATTGAAATATTTTGTATAAACACATCCTAATATATTAATTAGTTTACTGTATTACTGAAGATGATGAACCAATCTTCTATTTATTCATATGGACAGTATTTTTTTTTACTCAGGAAAAAAATAATAAATTTTAAAATGCATTTATAATTTACATATTCATATAAAAATTATTATATTAAATTTCTTTTGCAAATTAATTTCAGCCATTTTTGCAAAACCAAATAATTGAAATGATTTCATTTTTAAAAAAGTAAAATAGATATATTATAATGAATATTTTAATTCATTTATAGATTACATCAGTATATGTTATGTTCATAAAATATATATTGTATAACTTTAATCATCAATTTATTTTTTAAATAAATTAAAGAACTACTCAAAAGGCAATTATAGTATTTTAGATAAGATCTTTTTCAATTATATAAAATCATATTATATATATATATATAGCCTATACATTTAAAAATTATATTTTTTTATGTATTTATATATATATAGGGCCTATATATACACATACATAAAAAAATCGAATTTTTAAATTGTACAGAATACTTTTCTTATTATTTAATAGATTGTTAAAATAAACATATATAATAAATTAATAAAAACAAAAATTTTCATGGAGTGAAACAAAAGAATTATAGTTAAATAAACAAATATTAAGTTATTGGTTTGATTTATATACAGGGTGATCTAAAAGTCGGTTAACCAAGATATAAAAAGTTCAGTTAATTCAGTTAACTGACTTTTAGGCAAATTTGAACTTTTATGGCTTTCAAAGAAGGGTGTAATGCCACATTTGCGATTATACCTCATCTCGCTTCCCTCAGCTCCTATAGCTCCTACTTTTTAAAAACTAAAACTTTGAGAATATATTAATAAAAACGAAACAATACCGTTTATCATAATTATTAAGTATAATCAATAAAACATAAATGAAAGATGTATAGAAATCTTTTGCTTATTATAACCTTTCTAGAAACCCATTAACTTGTCATATCTGTAACCTATTCAGTTCTGAAAATCTAAAAATAAATTAAAACTGCACATAAAAACAAAACTAATTAACGACATTATTAAAAATATAAATCAAAATATAAATGTTATCNAATAGGAACAGCAAAATGAAATGAATGATACAAATTACTGCAAAATACCATCCATTCTGCCTAAATTGAAGAAAGAATAAAAGGTAAATGCCTAAATTAATAATATTATTAATGATATTTGATATTCCCTTACAGATATATCACACGCATTTATGCTTGAAGATTGGCTAATGCTGCCGTATTAATTTGCGATCTGAAATTTTTCCACGATAATTACCATAAAAACTTGAAATCACTTACTTGTCAGTAATTTGATTAATTAACAAGGCATTTTCATCACTAATCAAATTATATTTTACATAAAAAATATATTTAATTTAATATTTTCAGTTAACAAATTATTTGTTTTATTAATAGCACAAAAGTTGATTAATTAATTAATTTTATAAAATTAAAATAGTACAGTAATATCAATAATAAGAATATGGAACTGCTAGTTATCCCCACGCTGTGAATATTACGTGCTTTCAGAATAATCTGATGCTTTTCATCCGTTATCATTTAAACCTTTTATATCGTTTAAGAAACGTTCTCAAAATACGCACTCAAGTAAATTTTTAAGATTTGAGTGGTTTTTTGCGACTTATTTGAAGGTGTGTAGTGACAATCAGTTTTTCTTCTGACTTTGTCTTGCGAATGAAGCAGTCAGAAACATTTAATTCGAAGTTTGACGGTTTGTATGTATGGTTGCATTTCTTCTGATTTCTTTCAATATGGAGCTCACCAGTAGCCGAATGGGCCACAGTACTGATGGTTCCGGGTTTGCGCCTGACCAATAGGCTTGTCGCTTAAAGGTTTCCGGGTTTTCGCCACGTGTCCAACATCTAAATAGGGGCAGTTTCCCATAGGAAGTCCTCCCTGGAGGCATTTCCATCTTGGCAGGTCGCTCGTGTTGGATTAGCTTCTCATCAGTCAAATCACTTAAATTCTTTCAATACGGAATAGTATTCGTATGCCATTTGATAATAAAATTTAAAAGTATTTTGGTATTAAATTGAAAAATTTTAATAAAATGAAATTAAAATTAAACTTGAGAAAATAATATAAATTTATTAAAGTTTGCTGATAAATAATAAGTTACAGTTGCTTCTCCTCTGATTTATTAACTATGAATAAAATTGAAATATTTTGTATAAACACATCCTAATATATTAATTAGTTTACTGTATTACTGAAGATGATGAACCAATCTTCTATTTATTCATATGGACAGTATTTTTTTTTACTCAGGAAAAAAATAATAAATTTTAAAATGCATTTATAATTTACATATTCATATAAAAATTATTATATTAAATTTCTTTTGCAAATTAATTTCAGCCATTTTTGCAAAACCAAATAATTGAAATGATTTCATTTTTAAAAAAGTAAAATAGATATATTATAATGAATATTTTAATTCATTTATAGATTACATCAGTATATGTTATGTTCATAAAATATATATTGTATAACTTTAATCATCAATTTATTTTTTAAATAAATTAAAGAACTACTCAAAAGGCAATTATAGTATTTTAGATAAGATCTTTTTCAATTATATAAAATCATATTATATATATATATATAGCCTATACATTTAAAAATTATATTTTTTTATGTATTTATATATATATAGGGCCTATATATACACATACATAAAAAAATCGAATTTTTAAATTGTACAGAATACTTTTCTTATTATTTAATAGATTGTTAAAATAAACATATATAATAAATTAATAAAAACAAAAATTTTCATGGAGTGAAACAAAAGAATTATAGTTAAATAAACAAATATTAAGTTATTGG